TTCCCTAAAGCAAGGGGTGCAATGATGATGCTGTTGACTTGTAAACAGAAGTCAAAAGGAAATTCAAGCTTCCGTCAAGATTCATTCCAAAGATAATAAAAAAAAGGAAATGATGGAATCCCTTTTAGAGCTTTTGGATGGATTCACTTGTGCTTTGGCTGTTCTCTGAATTTGTAAGGAATGGAGAACAAAAGTGAAATTGCAGGCTCCCAGTTCATAACCACCTTAGCAGCAATTTCAACATCTTATGCTTCCAGTGGCTCCTTTTCTCAAATCATCATTTGTTTCTTTCTTACTTTCATGCATTTTTGTTTTCTTTCTCTTTTAAAAAAATTTTGCAAAGCTACTATCATCCAGTGCTCCATGACATTCAGCATACATGTTTTATATTTTGGTGTATAAAATTAAGCATACTACTCCTGCCACTGCCTATCTATGTGACCTGTGGGCCTAAGTTTCCTCATTTGTAAAATAAGGGAATTGAGTAAGACTTGCAGTGCTCAAACTATGTTCTATCCCAGGGTTCCTCAATTTGTACACTGTTGATAATTTAAGCTGGATAATTCTTTGTAGTGGGAGGCTGTCCTGTTCATCAAAGGATGGTTAGCATCACCCCTGGCCTCTACCCATTAGATGCCTGCAGTACGACTATACTCTCTTCCCTGGTTGTGAAAACCAACAATTGCCAAATGACACCTGGGCTGAAAAAGTCACTAATTAAAGCAATGGTTCTCAAACTTTGGTGGGTATCAAAACCCCTGGGGAACTTGGTAAAAACATAAAGGCCCAGACTGGATTCAATTACAAAGCCAGAGCCTCTGGGCTTTTTTGTTTGTTTGTTTTTTAATTCGCTTCTAAATACACAACAAAGTTTGAGTACCACTGTTCATGAGGAATTGTGTTGATGAAACGGTTCTCAAAATATGATTCTTGCACCCAGAGCCTCAGCATCACCAAGGAATTTGTTAGAAATGCACATTTCTGGGCTCCACTCCAGGCTTGGTGAATCATAATCTCTGAGATGGGACCTAGTTGTCTAAGAAATGGCCCAGGTAAAGAAGAAGTGAATTCTTAGTAAACCCAGAAAGACATTCAGAAATGCGAGAGAGGACTTTCTCAACACAGCATTGATACCATTATGTAGAGCATTGCCTGGAATCAATTGCTCCACCCTGTGTGGCTTCTATCACCATATGGTCATGAATTTTGTCCTGGCTCAGCCTTAAAAGGCAGATCAGATTTTCCTTCTTGGGGAGGGGAGATCTGAGGGATGGTACATCTCAGACTCATGAATCCTCTATGCACCTGGGCCCTGACTCATAGACTAACTCTTTGGGCTATGGCATTGACTCTAGACCAGTGGTTCTCAATCTTGGCTTCCTATTGGAATCACTTAGGGAACATTTAAAAATCTCAATGCTCAGGCCAAACCCCAGGCCAATTAAATCAGAATCTCTCAGAGTGAGAACCAGATATCAGTATTTTTGCCTTCTCAAATGATTCCAAACTTCAAGCACATTTGAGATGCCAATTGAACACTTTCTATAAAGTCAGATAGGGTTTGTACAGAGGGAGAAAAGGTAATAGGACATGCAGAAGGTTTGAAAGCAAATGTCAGTTTGGTAATCAGCATAAAGTTTGGTATGGCTACAACCTGTAAGCTTTTGGTTCTGTGCCAGTGCCAATTCGTCCCCTAAGTTTTCTTAGATCCTTCAACCAGAAGCCATCTTTGCAGGCTCCACATTTCTATAGCACTTTGAATCTATTCTAACATCTGCCATTTCTATTATATGGTAGATGTTAGACTACCCCTTGTATTATAGCCCTTTCCCCCACAATACCTACTTTGAGAGTAGGTATCCAAAGATATAAATTTGACATATATGTGGATGATGTGGAAATGTCATGGAATGTAGAGATAATCCATAGCAAAGCATCCTGGCACTTTGCCCTCAGTCCCACAGCAGGACTTCCTAGCCAATATGCTTCAAAACTTTCCACAAGTGGATTAATAACTCCGGACTCCAAAGTCTTTATCTGACAAGAGAGACAAATCCTTAGAGCAAAAGTCTGGGCAGATGACCTAAGCGCACATTCTGGAATACTGAACATCCGAAGTATTGAGGACATAGCTCCAAGGTGAAGCTTTTCCATCAGTGGAATAAGCCAAATAAGTGAGGTTTGGTGGAGAAAAGTAATAAGAGCATGATTCTTTGGGGTCCCTTGGAGTTACAGAGCGAAGGCTGTTTATGGCCAGAGTGGTCAAACCCAACAAAATGAGTGAAGGAATGAGCACGAAACTCTGGCATCCTCCTGGGCCTAGTGGTGATTCCACAGAAGAACCTTCTTGGGGAATTCATATCAGCTACACGATAAGTGTTCTTTCCTGTTGCCCTTCCCTCTTGTTCACCATCCCAGTGGCCAGGGAGACTTGGGTGAGATTGCTACAAGCACTAGGAGACCACAGGAATGTTTCCAGGAGGCAGGCTGGAATCAAGGGTCCAGTGCATAAGCTCTCAGGAATCCTTGTGAGAGTGTGAAGCCAAGGAACAGGAAAGAAGGGAACACCTTGGCTCAGAAGGTATTTAAGAGGGAGGAGAAACAGAGGAACAGGAAAGCCTCCAGCCTCCAGCTAGTCCTTTGGAGTCTGGCACCCATTTCTGTCAGCTTTCCCATTCCTAGACTGATGCTCATTGCTTAAGCCCTGGGAGTACTGGATTTATTAAATTGCCTCTTTGTTCAACTCTTGCAAAAAGAACTTAGATCTGAAAACCGTTTGACGTGTTGTCTGCCATAGTAGATGAGGAACCTAAGGCTCAGTTGTGCAAGTTTACGGCGTTGGTAAACTGACCGAGGCAGAATGTAAGTACAGCCATTCCAACAATTCTCTGGGTCCTGTAACGCCCTGCTCTGCGCAGAAAGGTGGGCTATTCACTGTTCCCGTGTCCCTACTCCCTGCCCCAATGCACAGACACCCACCCATACAAAGTGGGATGAGAAACAAGGGTGGGACCTTCTCTAAGACAAGGAGCAGTAAGCAAGCTTTGATTCCAAAGGCCCAGGGTTGAGTCCTTCCTTCGCTTTTTCACAGTTCTATAAACGTGGACTAAACATTTTTCTCCTCAGGCCTCCCAACGGGGCCAACGGGCCCTCTAGGGCTTTCCTCACAGCCGGAGAGGGAGTTTCCATGTGAAGGAGGAGGACGCTGCAAACTGCGAGGTCACGGACAAATTTCAGAAAATGATGAAAGCCCTATCCTCGCTAAGCCGGCTTTTCTTCTCTAAAAAGGGAGTAATCATGTCCTTTCTGCAACCTCGAATGGACCCCACGCGTCAGGCTCTGCGCCCCCGGGCTGGCCCCCAGCGGAGCTGGCTCTCTGGCTGGCACTGGGGTGTGAGGGCCCTGGCCTCCCGGCGGCTGCAGCCGGGAGCCTGCAGGGCGCGCGCTGAGCGCCGGCGAGCGGCTCGAGGAGGTTCGGGCAGCAGGAGGAGCGTGTGAGGTGTGGGCGTCCCTTTAAGAGCGGCCGTCCGAGCCGGCCTCCGCCTCTTAGTCCGCCGAGCGCCGCCGGTCACCTGAGGCTCCCGGGTCAACCGGCTGGCGGCGGGGCCGGCGATCTCGCCCGCGGAGCCGAGAGACGGGGCCTGGACGCCAAGTGCCCAGAGCCGACTGCGAGCGTGGCCGGCCGGCGCCCGTCCGCGGCGGAGGATGCGGGAGCGTATCTGGGCGCAGCTGCCGCTGCTGCTGCCCTGGCTACTGCTGCCGCCGCCGCTCTGGGGCGGCCCCCCGGACGGCCGGTGCTCGGAGCGCGAGCCCGAGCCCGGGCCTCTGCAGCCCTTCGACCTGCTGTACGCCAGCGGCGTGGCCGCCTACTACAGCGGGGACTACGAGGTGGCCGTGCGCGACCTAGAAGCGGCGCTGCGCAGCCACCGACGCCTGCGGGAGATCCGCGCACGCTGCGCCCGCCACTGCGCCGCGCGCCGCCCGCTCGTGCCTCCCGGCGCTGGCCCAGGGGCCGAGCTGCCCTTCTTCCGCGCCCTGCTTGAGCGGGCGCGCTGCTACCGCAGTTGCCAGAGCCAGCGCCTCGGGGGCCCCGCATCCCGCCACCGCGCCAGCGAGGATGTGCGCAGCGACTTCCAGCGCCGAGTGCCCTACAACTACCTGCAGCGGGCCTACATCAAGGTACCCAGAGCGCACACCTCACGCCCCCCCGCTGCCCTGGGATGCGCTCCAGCCCTCCCCGCGGCTCCCGTCTCTTGGCCGGCGCGCTGCTCCTTAGCGAGTCTGACTGGGTCTCCTTTAACTGTTCTGTCTCATGTGTGGATCTACATAGCTGGTGGCCCGAGCTCTGTAACCAACACTCGATGAATTTGGGCAAGCCATTAGCTCTTTCGGCATCCACTTCTCTCTCAAAAAGAGGACTGTACTGATAAGACGTTTAAAGTACCCATTCAGCACTAATGTCTGAACGTTGGTAGAGCCGGGTCTAGTATAAGGTCTCCTCTCGCTTCACTCCCTGGTCTAGCTTCATCCAGTTTCTCTTCCATCTCGGCTCCCTCATCCCTCCTACAAGCTAGTCTGCACCTTTTCTTTGAAGTTTAAAAGAGAGCGGTCTCAAAACAGCAGAGTTAAAGGTAGGCTTGCTCCGAAACCCATCCCTCTGTCTTTTCCCCTGCACTTAGCACAAAAAGGGAAGATCAAAGGTTAAAGAGGAGGTATGCTTGGAAGAGGTGAATCTGTGTGAGGCAGTCTCACTAAAAGTGCCCAAAGTGCTGACTCTTTCTCCTTTGATAGAAGGCTCCAGTTTCTGGAGGTAAGCATCGGACTGAGTTATTCACCACCAGATGCTCCCTCTTTCTGGTTTTATTTTTGTGTACTCAACTTGCCTGAAGTTAGTGCCAGGAGGCAGACAGTGTATATTGACATCTTCCCTACATTCACAGTTTTAAAGATCTATGTGAATGCTTCGGCAGAGAGAATTTAGCCTGTGTTCCTCAATCTCCCACTCTCACTCATCCATGTTGCTTTGAACTTACACTTTCTCCCCCTTCTACCTTTCTATGTCAGTATATCAATGTCTGTTCTCCAGCTGTTGGAGAAGTGGCAGCTTTGGGGGTTGGTTGGTTATGCCAGCCAGTGGACCAGGCTGCATTTCTGGAGTGGTGAAAATACACACCAGGTGCTGATATTCTAATGTCTTTTGCAGCTCATCCCACAAGGTCTCTGAGCTCACAGTTGGTAGGGCTCTCTGCAGATTTGCAGTTTTGGGTAGAGTTCAGGAAATCACAACTGTAACTAACTCTTTTAACTCCCAGTGCTCTGGCTAAGTTGCTAGATTTAGTATCTTGGGCAAGAAATAAGGAGAAAGCCTGAATCCTTTCCAGGATTTGTCTTCTATTTGCTTGTGCCTCCTGAAGTATTTGCTGAGGCATGTATTAAGTATAAATCTGCTTTCTTTTAAATGAGTGGCACAGTTTTTGGTGGTCTTAGAGAAATCAGTCAATAGCAGGCAGAGAGGGGCTTGTGAGTACCCGACAGCTGAAGATATACTAAGCTAGTTCCCAGAGCAGAATGTGGGTGGTCGGGTTTGGTCCCCCTGTAATACTGTCTTCCCAGGAGTCTCAGATGTGAGGTTGGTAGTCCTGCTGATTGTTCTGTCACACATCTTGGGCACATTTTCCTTTCTCAGGTCTGGAAAAGGCATGCATATTTATTTTCACTCCTATAAAAATAAATAACCACGAGGTAACTCTCAAAATGTGAGTGTCTTTGGTTCTGTAATTACACTTGCTTCACTGCTAATGTTAACATTTATCATTCTCCTGCTCCCATCTCCTGGTTGGAGGTCAAAGAAGATGAAGCCATAGGTTTAACATGCCTCAGTGTTTTTCAGTGAATTAATTACAGGAGATAGTCACTCACAGGTAGCTCTGTGGGTGAACTACTGGCTGTGGTCTGATGAACCAATGAAGTTTGAGAAGTCCTTTCAAAATTATGTGAGTTCATGTGCTGATTTCTGTTTTACTGGCAATGTTTCTGAGAGCAGAACAAATCTTGCATCTGCTTCCTGTTCACCTCCACTCCGATAGGTACAATTTCTACATAATTGATGATCTCTTAAGGAGGAAATCTTCTTACCCCTTTGGAAATTCATTTTTGATGGGCTGGAGTTTACAGGAGCATCTTTATGAACATCGAATAAGGTGTTCCCTCCCCGCAAGAACGCCACAATTTTAGCCTTTGCTTGGCTTCTTGGGAATTTCACTCATAAATGCACACACACACACACACACACAGTCTTCTGAGAGCAAAACAGAACTCTCAAAATAACAGTATCTTTGGGCTCTGACAGGTTTGAATCCTAAAGTGTCCATTCCCTGATGATAGAGGGGTTCCCTGCATATACCTGCATATGATCATGGTACCTTGTGTTGCTTACTTGCTTTGGACATCAGTGATCCAGTCTGCATTTGAAAAGAATAATCCTGGACCAGATTGAATTCAGTGAGGACTTTGTAGCCAAGATTTGAGAATTGTGAATCCTGTAATATGGTCAGAACTAGCAGACTTCCTAGAGATAAGGAAACACATTTATTCTCAGCTAGGGGTTTGCAAACTGTAGAAGCTCTTGGGAGATGCTGTTCCTCCCCCAAATCCCAGTTAGTGAGCTACTGATGGAAGTGGATTCTTTATGCTAGAGTGTTGGAAGGGAAAGATTGAGAATTGTGAAATCTAAGGCCTGTTGAGATCAATTTCTCATTTCACAGATAAGGAAAGGGAAACCCAGACAGGGGAAGGGGCTCACCCAGTGTCACATATGATTTGATTTGATGAATTGAGCACAGGACTGGGAGTCAGGGGTCTGGGCTCTGCCAATAATTGGTCATGCCTGTGCACATCCACTGTCCCGTGGAGTCATCTCAGGTCCCAGGGAATGCTGAGTCCCCAGGGCTATCCTTTTGCCAGATTTGGACAGCTCCAGGAATGAGTCAGTCCTTGTCCTGTGGGGTAACAGACACTCACTGCATTTATCTTAAGGGCTATTCTGTAGAATCTTCCTTAAGCCCTGGCATGCTGGGAAATCCTCTGGACAGCTACGAGGTGGTAGTTCCGCTTAGATCCTATCCACACTTTTTTGTTTAAAGGCAGGGTGAGACTCTTCAAACTTTCAAATTTTATTATTTCAGATTGTAAGATATAACTCATGATTCACAGCCTAAAGCCTAAGATAAAGCTTTTATCAGAGCAGTCTCTGCTCGGAAACCTTCACTGGTTTCCCCTTGCTTCTGTATAGAGCCCACAGTGTTGAATACAGCACCCCTCAGCCTGGCTGCCCCTTAACTTTACAGGCTCAGTCTCCTCCCGCTCTGCCATCCTTCAGCTAGAGGGAACAATGGATGCTTAATCTTACGTGTCTGACACTTCTGCACATCTGGGTTTATTTATTCTTCTTTGGGAGACATGTAGGCTCTGGCATGGGGTCGATCTGGGATTGAACTTTAGCTCTTCAATCTCTAGCTCTGTGACTGCGAGCAAATCACATAAACTTTCTAAGCTTTAGTTTCCCCATCTGCAAAATGGGTAGATAATGGGACCTACCTGATTGGTTTAAGTTTAAGAGAGGATTTATATAAAGCACCAGGGACAGGGCCCATTTCTGTTTCCAGAAACACTGGAGATGTATCTCTTATTATTATTAGTTATAACAGTAGATTTTCCTACCCTCTTCTCTATGTGTTCAAATGGTAAGTGTACTAGCACAAATATACCTATTTCTGTGAGATCCTCTTTCACTCTCTCTGCAACCCCCAACAATCCATCATTTCTCGCTCCTCTGAATGTCCACAGGAAAGAATATGTTCCTCTCATATCATGTTTCACTTTTAACCTTGTTTTGGAGAAATTCATATATTTGTTCATCACTTAAGTGAGCTCCTTGAGATCAAGAATGATCACAGTCATTTTTGCACCTCCTAAAGTAGGAGTTTCCAGATCTGGAAGATCAGCAGATGGATGATTATTATGAATCCCCTGGGCATTAAAAATGTGATTTAAAATTGGAGATTTAGGTTCAGTAGGTCTGAGTTGGGTCTCAGCATTTATATTCCCCCCAGATACCTAAAACAGGGGGCAGTAGCAGTAAATGCTCAGTGTATGTTTGTTGAATGAATGATAGTTTGGTTGCTCATGTATGAAATATTGTTGGAAAAGATTTCTGTGTGGCGGCAGGAGGTTTTCTCAAATTAGTTATTTGGTTTCCTGGCTGGTCAGTTGGGGGAGAAAGTTATAGAAGGACTGTAGATTGCTTGACTTTTCACTCTCTTCTACTTGCAAGTTCCGGCTAATGTTGCAAACCTCCTTTCCCTCCCCCTCCATTTTTTTTTTCTAATTTAATCCTTATTTCCTAAAACTATGCTTCGGAAAATTCTTGACACGCTGTGCCTGTTTTATGTACATTTGTGGAATTTAAACAAATGTAAGCGAGATCCTTTTCTTTTTTTTATCTGTGTACTTTATAATCGGGAATACTTTGACAGTATCTGTTTTTCTTTCAGTGTTCCCAACCATTTAGTAAAAGAAAAAAAAAAGACAACCAGTGCTGCTTATTTATGTTTTTTACTTAAAACAAGCTTGCCCCTCCATGTTTTGTTTCTAAGTTGGTGCTTTGTGCTATTTGACCTTTGTTTTTCTTCTTAAGATTGGTGAGGGGGGAAGGAAATGCAATTAAGTTAGGCAATTCTATCTCCCTCCTAGAGTCAGCTCCCCAAAATTCCTTTTTCTTGACCACAATTTATTTTATTAGTGGTTTCTAGAAAAGAGAAAAAGTAAGTTCAAGGATTTTCCTCGCTCTTATTCTGCTTTATCAACTTCTTTCTCTTTCTAGATGAAGGCCTTTAAAAAAGTTTGAAACGTAGGCCACATGACATGATACATATTCTGTTAGTTCAGAATAAAAACTTTTCCCAAATCCCATATTTAAATCTCTTTTTACCTATATGTAGACTATGTACATTTTGTCCCCAAATTATTTCAAATAGGAGGTTGATTTTATGTCTTCTTGAAATAGTTGTTTTGAAGTTTCCTAGTGGTTATTTCCTCAAGGGATGAGACTTTTTTTTTTCTTCTTACATTTGGAATTTTTCTTTTTTTTTGAGCTTGAATCATCAAAATCCACTAGTCAT